TGATGCTACTGCACAAAATACAAAAAACGAAGAGCTCAAATGTGAAACTTCTAATTTACAAGAAACCAGGGGAGTCTTCATTTGATTCTTTATTATTCTTAATGAGAAGACAAAACTTGTCACTGATGAATTTTAAGACTGCCTGAAGTATCTCCCAGAGAGTTATAGATAGAAGTAATTTCAAAGTACTTTGTATTCACGTAGATCAGGATCTCCCTGAAATACTTTCGTGTTACTTTCTTAGGAATTGGAAAATCAACATGAAAAATTAACTTATTTTTATAAAGCATCTACTATGCTTAGCTCTATGGGAAGTGACCTTGAGAAACGCAGTGAATGGGGATACAACGCACTTATGGAAAGATAAGAAAGAAAAACAACTTAATATAAAACTAGGCACAGCATTTTGTAGTGCACACAATGGATGTGACAGAAATGCAGCTATGAGAAAAATATCACCTTGCGAGACTTTCAAGGAAGAGGTGCAGTGTATAAATTCTGGGGATTGGGTAGCATGTGTGGTGAGATTAGAGGGAGATGCAAATTGAGAGATAATCCTGGAAGGTGAATACCAAAAGTAAAGGCAGAAGGATATAATATTGAACAAGTACGAGCAATGATGACAACTGATAGAGCAGGGGATGCTAAGGCTAGTTGGGAAAGATGAGGTCCATCTCTGGAGAGAGTTGGCTAACAAGATGAGACTTAAGAGCTCTTATTTATGTATCTTGTCTGAGAGTCACCTATAACATAAAGGTTAATATCTAAAGCTCTGAGGCAGACTGCCTGATACTGCCATTTACTAGCTATTTGACTTTGGATAAGTAGTTTAATTTTCTATCCCTCAATTTCCTTATCTGTGTAACAGGAACAATAATGGTATGTAGCAATACAAGTAAAGTGCTTACAAGCTCGTTTTATTCTATAAGACTGGCATTCTTAAGGGGAGGATACATTTTTTTAAAAAAATCAAAGGTTTTCTCCTGGCAGCAATGGACCAAACAGATTAAAAAGGTGTGAAATTTAAGGCAGGGGAAGAAATCAGGCATCATTTTAATCCCTGAGCTTTTCCCCTTAATATTCATAATCCATTATCATTCAAACTGGAATATCGGTCTCAGGATTTTTATATTTAAGTACAGAAATGACCTTTATTTCCCCCACCTTTCTACCTAAGTGTTTGTTCTCTCCTGTCTCCAAGCTCTCTGAAACCAACAGCCAAATAGGAAATTTAATGATGATCTTTGAGGTTTAAAACCTGAGTCTTCTAGATCCCTGCCCACAAGAGTGCTGACAGTTCAATTGACCTTAATAATTGCTGATAAAGTTCTTTATTCCTATTTGGGTAAAATTAATGACTTTGAGGAACATTATAGGATATACATTAATATTCACCACAAATGGAAAACTTCTTTGAGTTCTAATTTTATGCATGATAAATTGGGGCTTTATTACTACATTTAACCTTTAACACATCTTTCTTTAAAATATAGATTCAAATGTGAAATCTAGTATTTGCATACATCGTACCAATTTGTGATGGTCACCCTTTCGAACCCACAATGCTTTAAGTTCATAAAAGGGACCTGAATTACAATGAGATCTAATATTTCCCTTATTGGTACACACAATTTCTTTCCAGATCTTCTTTATGTTTGTAAGGAAAACTATTGCATAATGCAGATTGAATTGCTAAAAATTCCAATAAGAAGCAAGAAATATAGATATAAATGTAAATATGTCATACATACTTATTTCAGGTGAATATCATTTCCCCTTTATCTGAAATGAGTTTATCTTTTAAACTTGGAGAATTGGGCAGAACAAACACATTTTCTTCTTTGAAATAAATCAAAGTTATTT